GGGGCAGCGGGGAGAGGGGAGTGGCTGGAATGCCAGCGTGGGCTCCCCAATGAACCCCTGAATCTCGGGGGCCAGATTCAGGTAAACTGGGGTCCACATCCGGCCCTTGGGTCTGAGGTTCCCCACCACTGCCCTAGCTGAACTACTGATATCTCCCCAGTGCTACCGATGGGAATCTAGCGAGCAGAAAATGTAATTCTGTATTCCACTGGTCATCCTTCCTGGGCATATAAAGAAAACCAACAATGGAAAAGAATGATCCAGTCCAAGTGACCCCCCTCACCAGTGTTCCCTCTAATCTTTTCTGTCCATGTGCAGATTGTTTCCATTCATGTGCAGAATAAATTTTGTTCTGTGCACCAAGGCATGTGTAGATGTGCACCACCTGTATAAACAAAATGTACCTATGGGTGCTCTGTTAACCAGCTGGGCAGCATTTACATCTCTAAGTGGCCACACAAGCACACAGCTTATAGGGAACAGGGCCCCTCACTCCCTCCAGACCTGGTTTGGGGGGGGGGCGAGGTTATCTTTGCTTGTGAGGCACCAAGGACTAAGGGCCTGCATGGGTAGGGTCCAAGCAAGTCAGCCATGCCACCTGCTCCCCACTTCTCAGCCTTGGGCTCCCCCTGCCTGCCACCCCTCTCCTAATACAGCTCAATCCCAGCCCACAGCCCTGCTTGGGGAAACTGAGGCATGGAGGCAAAGTTATGTGCTCCGCATCTGGCTGTTTATGGAGTGACCTTAGGTGTTTGCTATTCCTGGTTCAACCGCTCCCACCGAAAGCGGAATTGGGGCTCCCCAGATCTGGGGCACATTCACAGGAAGCAAACCTGGGTGTCCACGATTGGAATGTTCCCACTACCAGCCCATCCTCCTGCCCGCCCACCCGTAGCTGCTTTTCCAGGCCCGGGGCTCTGACGACAAAACAGGATCCCCTGTAATTTGCTGTCTCAGGCAGGGATTCTCCCAGGAACTGAAACTAGAGCCCCCTGGAATTTACAGGGAGGTTGGAAAATGCCTAATGTAGCAACACGGCATTGGCCACTGGGAGGGAATTTGGGGGGAATGCACCCCCCCAGCGGGGGGGCATGGAAATCCCGGGGGTGTATATCCAGCACCTGGCTCCTGTATATTAGCTCCCCACCCCCATTCCTGTCTGCTCTGCCGACAGCGCAAGGGCACCCAGATGCCAATTGCACCATCAGACGCCCCCTCTTCCTCTGTTTCCTCGTGGAACGGCACAAGCCTCCCACCTGCCCTTCTCTGGCCTGGCTAGTGGCTGGACCGGGGAGGGGGGGAGGCCCGGGCGGGGGCGGGTTCGGGTCAGCTGGGTATTGCCGTGAGGCAGAAATCCAGATCACACCCACCCTCCCTGGCCTTCAGGACTGGGTCCCGATTCTTGCTAGTTTCTACGCTCCTAGATGCTGGGGGAAACGTGTCCCCCTTGTTTCCCTCTCCCGGCCCCCGCCAGCATTTCACTGAGTTCTTGAGTAGTTAGTGAGACCAAGAATCAGCTCCCACCCCGGCTGTCTGGCAGCGCCTCCGTCTGGGCCCTGCTTGGCTCTGGCCTGGGGCACCCCGTCCGCACCGCCAGCCCCAGGCTGAGAAAGTCCATGGAGACCCGCCCTCCAGGGCCAACCCCAAACCGCTGCCTCCCTGAGTCTCCACAGGCAGCGCGGCCCGGACAGAGGTGCTCAGAGTCCATCAGCCCAGAGCCACAGGGCCCTGCTGGTTATGTCGGGCCAAAGAGGCCATGTGTGCCCCAGCCCACGGAGGGGGGTGCCAGTGCACCCGGGAACGGAGAGGAAACCCGGCCCCGCAGGAGGGGCTGCAGGGACCCAGAGCTGGGGGGGGGGGGGGAGCCACCGCCCCCGCGTCCGCCACTCCACCAC